TCAAAAATTCCAGACCTGTGGATCCAGACAGAGACATCTAGAGGCAGGCTGTGCCCACAGCACTCAGTCCCAGTAACAGGCAATTAATCACACTAGCTCGGGTGTCCATGCAACTTGTCCATTCCCCAAAAGCATAAAAGCTACAGGGAAAAACATCAAGCTGAATGACATTCATTCACTTAACAGCTTTTGTTGTTTTTTTGAGTACCTACTATGTGCAAAAAGCTATGCCCCATGCTTTGCAAAAGTCAATCCCAAATTTACAGATGAGGAAATCAAAACAATAAAACAACGATGATTACAACACTGGCTAATATGTATTGAGTGCTTACTACATACTAGGCATGGCTTCAAGTATTATATATGCATTAATTGGCTTAATCCTTGAAATAGAGTTGTTAATGTCATTCCTATCTTACCGAGGACACTGAGACAGAGTTCAGTGAATTGTCCAAGTAGGTAGTAAGGGTGGGATTGACACCAGGGGTCTTAGCACTGTCTTAGCACTAGCCTGGGTTGTGTCTCTACATGGTGAAGCTAAATAGTCGCTAAGCCTGCAGAAGTAGGTATAAGAGTTAAATATGCTTGTGTATGGGGACAAAACAAGGATGAAGTAACACAAGGGTACTTCCAAAAGTTCGTGGAAAAATATAACTAAAAGATAATACGAATCTTTCCATAAACTTTTTGAAGTGCCCTTATATGTAGCCTCAGATGGGGGCAGATAAAATCCTGAGGGGAAGTGTCCAAGGAGGAAGAAATCCCTTGGAGCAAGAGGCACAAGTTAAGCCTTGAAGAATAAAAAGGATTCAAACATAGGAAGACATGCATTTCTATAGGTATAGGGAAGGGCATTTCTGATGGCAGGAACAGCATGAGCAAAGGTACAGAGATGAGAGTTTAGCTGAGAGCATGGATTTGTGCATGAGCATTAACAAACTGGGTTAGGCCTCATGTTAATGGATGTTCTACAAATCAAACGCCTCTTGTTCATATGTTCCAGGAACATTGGAATAAATATGGCCCAACTTGGGATTCTATAATGTGGGACTCCTCTGGGTGTTTGAGGTGCTAATGTGCTTGAGTAGCCAGAGAAGCTTTGGTCTGTGGGGAGGAAGACCGGTTATCTTGCAGCATCTCAACAGGTAGGCTTGTTGGAAAACGTGTGGCTAGAAATCAGGCCTGTCAGAGAGAAGCCCAGGCCCTGCTGCAGCTTTCTGTTTTGGTTTTTGGGTTTTTTTGGCAACTGGCCGGTACGGGGATCCGAACCCTCAACCTTGGTGTTATCAGCACCACGCTCTAAGCGACTGAGCTAACTGGCTAGCTCAGCTTTTTGTTTTTTAAAGAAAACTTGGACCCACTCAACAGTTTTGAGCTGGAGAGTGACATGATCTAGGTTGTGTTGACAGGCCAGAAATCTGAACACATTTAAAAGAGGGTGTGGGGGGGGCTCCCATCAGTCCAAGACCACAAATAAGAAAATAACCTGTCACACGGAGCCATTGGAAGCAGCGAGCGAGCGTGTGTGGGATCATACAACACTTTTAGACTCCCTTCCTCTTGCACACCCCCTCTCCATCTGTCGCAAAGGGCACCAGGAAGATGCAGGGAGGAATATTCCAGCTCTGGGGGCTCCAGAGCTTGGCAGCCCAGATGGGAGGGCTCTTGCGGGAGCCACATCACTCCCTATGTGTTGTCATTTGTCAGGGCCAAGGGGCTGTCAGCATTTCCACCATCAGCGGGCTTCCAGAGAAACACCGGTGACTCAGTCTAAAACCCCTGCCCAGAGAAGGAACCCTTCCACAACCTCTGTCCCAGAGGGTGCTCCTCTCACTGCCACCAAGTTGGGGTTCAGGCTACATCATTCTGATTAAGTCATTTAACTTCTCCCCTCAGAAGCCACTCAGCCAGAAAACCTGCATTCAAATCTGGGCTCCCCTCTCACTTACACCTGGGACAAGTTACTTCCCCAGTTTTGGACTCGATTGTCCTCATCTGCAAAATGGGGATAAGAGCCAACTCATGCTTTGTCGATGAAAGAGATCACGCAGATAAAGCAAACAGCCTACAACGCAGTTAACTATTTAATGAACTCCCTTCTCTCTATACATGGTTCCCATCAGCACTTCATACGTGCTGAATGACTGCAAGTCAAGGAATGAATCACACTACAAGTCTCCTCCAGGGTTGGCAGAGGAATGATTAATGGCCAGAAAGTACTCAGAGAATACCCCAGCTTTAAAGGACCTTCCAACAGCCTGTGCATGTTGGGAGCAAAGACCCTCCCTCCCCCTTTCTCTTATGAAAGAGGAAGTGAGATTACTTTACCACTTAGGAAAGTCCAGAGGAACCACCAACATGCCACACTCTACCAAAGGGACAGAAGTTCCCTGGAGGGCTCAGCTGCCCCCCAAAGCCTGAACCCCAACTTGGCTTGGCCTTTTCCAGGCCAGAGAGAAGGAGGGAATGGGAGTTCATCTGAGGTCTTCCCGGGAAGTGACCCAGAGGTCTCAAGGCCTAGGTGGGGACCGATGAGCATCCCGCAGGTTCAATGTCAGGCTCTGCTGCCACAGAACCAGGCTGCCCAGGTGTCCTCAGGCCCTGGCCCCTTGCCCTTCTCCCAGTCTCAGAGACTCCCTCAGTGTAGTTGTTTCAGGAAACAGGCTTCACATTGGCTCCAAGAACACAGGGTGGTGACTTCACTGGCATCGTTTTAGAATTTCCCTTTGGCAGCATTTATGCTAAAAGCAATCTTTAAAAATTTCTTCCCCTGTCTCCCCCAACAAAGATAATTCACATGAACAGACCCCCCCACAATAGTGATCATGTGGAACCAGGGCAATCATGTGACACCTCCCAGGCTGACAGTTCTGCCAGAGACACTAGTAGTCATTCAATCCAAAGCTGCCTTCCTAAGCCTGACATTTGAGTTTCTCACTTGAACAAATCCATTTTCTTAGAAAATTGGACAAGTTCCTCCTTCTACCTTCCTGCCCTTCTATCCTGCCTCTCTTCTGCTTTGTCATAAATTCCATGACTGGAGCAATAAAAGGAGGGGCCTGAAGCCCTATCCTTCAGCCAAACCAGGTGAATTCCATGCCTGGGCCTGGGGTGTGACCAGGACCCCGAGGAACAGAGTGAAGGATACTGGGAGGCTTGAGCTCCGATGGTCACTCCCCATCCCTTCTCCACAACCCCAACCAAGAAATTCATTCTTATCTCCTAAAATTTATTTATTTCAAAGTTAATCTCAGCCCCTCTGCTGCTCCCACTTTTTCAGGCTATTGATGCTGAATGGATTGGAACGGAAGTTTTATGGCCCAATCTTTACCATTTTATAGATTGTTTTTATAGGCAAAAGGGGGAGATTTGCTCACAAGAAAGGTGTTGGTGTTCCCAGCCAGTGCCTGGGAAAAGGCAGGCTGCCCATCTGAACACTTGTTAATCAGCGTCACCGCTCATTTGCCAGGGACTGAACCACAGGCTCCTGGTTGGAGAAGGGTCTGGAATAGACATTTAGAAATTAACTTGGGCCCAGTTCCCTGCTTCAGGAAAATCAAGTACTTGTGAAAGACACTCATGCATTTCCAGGCCAGGAAGGATGGCAGGGTAAGAACTAGGACTTTTGCAGGACACAAATGGCCGGCTGAGGCAGGAAGGAGCAGAGATCGGAGTTGCCATTCACCGGAGAGACATAGAGAGACAGGAAATTAATTAGTGCTTCTTTCCACCCAGCAAGGACCCAAGTGTAACTATGAAGAACTAGCTGTGGGGTGAGTGGGATGCCTACGTGGATTCCTGGGGTTCAGGGGAAACTATAGGGCAGAGAAAAGCTGCTGTCCACCCCCCACCTCTCCTTCCACCCACTCTTTGCTAGTTCTCTCTTTCTCTTTCTCACTGCTATCAGATGGTTACCAGTCTCTAGGCAAATGCAAGGGGGGTGGGGAATACTGAGCTCATCTTTACCTCCCTCCTCAAGGGCGGAAGATGCAGAGACCTCTCTGCCCACAACACAGCTCCAAGAGGCCAAATAACAAGATCCCCATTCTTCTCCCCCCCCCCAACTCCTTTAATGTCATTTCTCTGCCTAGCCCCATGCCCTCCCAGGAGACCCACGGTTTTGCAAAACCCCTTTAAGAAACAGCACTCCTGAATGGTGACCTCACCCCTTGGCGAACACACACTGTAGCCTTCAGAGCCTGCCTGCGGCGACAGCCAGGTGTTTGATGTAGGCCAACAAAAAGACATGCTCAGAGCCACAGGTAACAGCCCCACAGAGCACCTGAACGGCAGGGAGCTGCCTGGAAGCCTGGGGATGGCAGAAGGCAGTGGGGAGCCTGAGTCGGGAGAGCAGCAGGGATCAAGACCATCCTGCGAGAGGCTTTGGCAACCACAGGGACAATCCACTGCGTTTTCACATAAGGATCTGTTGATCACAGAAGCTCATCCCAGGGTTACCGCGCCTGCCTTCCCCTCTCTCCCCCCAAACACACACTAACACTGTTTTACTCTGCGTACCAGGGGGAGAGCTCTCTCTTCCCTAATTGCAACAGCCTGTTTATGTTGCATTTCAGGCAGCACCCGGAGGACCTATGCCTCCACCCCCCTCTCTCAGACCCTGAAGTCAAACATGTGGAAAGCATAAGTCTAGGGAGAGAGCTTCTAGGGAAGCCAGGGTGCCCTGCTCTGAAAGCCACTGTCGGCTTGCCTCTCCAGTCAGACTGCACAGGGGCTGGGTGAACCAACTCATCTGCTACGTGCCGGTGCCCAGCACAGTGCCACACAACCAGGGTCCACAGAAACAGACCATCTAGGAAGAGACGTGGATTCTATCCTTGGCTGTGTGACCTTGAGCAAGTAGCTGGCCCTCTCTGGGCCTCCGTTTCTGCACATGTAACACTGGTTACAGACATCTCTCCCCTAGGACTGTTCGACATTAGCCCAGTGGCTCCCAGCGGCAGTTTGGGGAGGGCAGCAGTGGGGGGTAGGGGGGTTCTTACCTGACCAGGCGCAAGACGCGGCGAGCAGCAGGCAGAGCAGCGGCCCGAGGCGGCCGGGGGCCGGGCCGGCGGGCTCCATGGGCCGCGGCTGCGGAGCGAGGAGGCAGAGCGGCCGTGAGTGCGCGCTCGGGCGGGCGCAGGCTGGAGCGGGGAAATGACTAAGGCTCCCCCCTCCTCCCCCCCTCCGGGCCGGGCTTCCCCCCCTCCCTTCCCCCGAACGGGTTCCTGGAGCGGCTTAGGAGCCGCCGTCGCCGCCGCGATTTTCGGAGCCCCCCTCCCCTCCCCAGGAGAGATCGAGAGACAGAGACGGGGAGAGACCCCAAGCGCGCGAGAAATAAAGCCAGGGACGGCCAGAAAGAGGCGGCAGGAGAGAGAAACAGACCCAAGGGAGCCAGGCAGAGAGCCAGAGACACAGAGAGGCGAGAGCGAGGGAGAGAGAGCGCGGGAGGGAGGGAGAGCGGGAGCAGGGGGGAGAGCGCGAGGCGGCGCGCAGAGCGAGACAGACAGCGCGGGAGAGAGAAGGACCGCGAGGGCAGG